GGCAGAATCACAACATCTTATTTCCGATCAAGAAAAACAACATCTTATCACCTCTATCCAAAATATCAAAGACCGACTCCTACAGTATGCCCAACACAGATGACAGGGAATCAGGATTAGAGGGAAAATGGCTAAACTTTCCTATGAAGCCTCAATGGACACCCATTTTTTCTCCATGGCCACCGCACGGACACGGCGGACAATCATTGAAGTTTTTTTTGACCCAGACGAAAACAATATCATTGCCACTGATACGGCTCATAGTACATTAACCACTAGGAACTTTTTCAAACAACTATACACCTCCCAAGTCCTACAAGGGGGAGAAAGGACCCGACAAATTCACGATTTTCTTCTCCCGATGGTCCGTCACATCTATCCTCAACAGCGTGACAAGCTCGAGTCAAAACTAACAAAAGAAGAAATATGGTCAACACTTCTTCAAATGAAGGAAGATAAAACCCCAGGGATAGACGGCTTTCCCAAAGAATTTTGGGAAGCTATGTGGACAGACCTAAACTCCGACTTATGGAAATATTACCAAACGGTATGGGAGGTCGGGGAAATGGGGGAAACCGTTGGGAAAGGAGTGTTATCTCTTCTTTACAAAAAGGGGGATAAAATGAATATCCGGAACTACAGGCCTATCACGCTACTCACAGTTGTTTATAAAATGTTTTCCAAAGCATTGGCGAACCGTATGGCGATGGTTCTAGAAGAGGTCATTCACCCAGCCCAAACGGGCCAAACGGGGTTCATGTCCGGAAGGAACATACAGGAGAACATCCTGCTAGTCAATGATGTGGTCCAATTAGCACGACGGAAGCAGGCCAATGCTGCGATAATTTTTATAGACTTCGAAAAAGCCTACGACCACGTGGACTGGGAGTTTTTAGATATGTGTTTAGAAAGAATGAATTTTGGACTAAACATGGAGGAAATCCAGCAACTCATGAACAAATTATGTCGCCCGTCAAACATGTCTGTTAACTGGGGCTGGTGGCTGCATCACCAAGAGGGCAGACCTCCGGAATACCCACGTATCACGTGGCTTCCCCCGGAGGACCCCTTGAGAATTCTGGGGGCATTAATTACCGCTAGAGGTAGGCCAGCATCCAATGATGAATGGCTGACAGCACCAGCACAAGTTAAGCTGAAAAAATGGAACAACAAACGCACATCAATCTTTGGGCGGGTACTCGTCATTAATAATGTGGTCCTGGCCACTCTATGGTACAAAGCCGTCTTATGGCCTATGAGTAACGGAGGGCTCAAAATATTGAAACAACAGCTTGCGGCCTTCCTATGGAGGGGCGACAGCGATAATACTCATGCCATAAGCATTGTAGCATGGGATTCGGTGACTCAGGCCAAGAATAGGGGCGGATTAGGAATCGTAGACCCAGCCACGCAATTACAGGCCCTCTCTATTCGCTGGCTCCAGCACATTATCTTTTCACCAACTTCGCCATGGGTCCCCCTCGCCCTGGCACAGATCTCAGACCTCGCCCCGGAATCTCCACCAGAAATTGATCCCCGCATATGGTTGGAAGACAGGTACTGGAGGATACCCAGGAAGTACAGGAATGGAGACCCCACTGACAAATACTGGGTACGTCTCATTCGTACATGGAGGAAGCTCCCGCCCCCCGACCGACCCGCACCAAAAAGGCGGGAAGAAATATTTAGGCAGCCGTTATTCGGCAATCGCCTAATAACGGACCCTGGAGGGCGTGTACGATGTGCTTCAGATTCCCCATGGAAGGGGTGGGTGAAACACGGGGTACGAAGGGTTGGGGACCTCTGGGATGCAGAGGAAAGAAATTGGAAGAGCACCGAAAGGATAAGAGCAACCCTTCGGTACTGCCACTTTACTGAGAGAGCACTTAATGAGTTGATTGACAACTTCCCTCTCCACTGGTACATTACCCTCAGAAAAGGCCCCGGTGCAAGAGAAGGCGACTAGGTGGGGCTACCTGACCACGAGTGGGAAGTAGGGTATGTGCGCCTCGCTGATCAAACACATGTACTAATTGAAGTATTCTCCATCCTGAAGGATGATCGATTAAGGTGCAACCACCAACCCTTCATATGGAAGGAGCAGAAAGAGGTGTATCGCATCAGGGTCTTTAATGATGGAAGTCACCAGAGGGTGTATCGCCCAATGGTCCCAACCGAAGACCTCCCCCTGGACCCTGATGAGTGGCGGTGGACCATGAACATTCCACCCAGGAAGGGGGAGGCAAAAATACTAACATTACGAAACCTAAAATCCAAGTCGGCCTACCGTATGCTCAGACCTAAACGTAGACTGCGGGATCGCATAGAAGATAGATGGTACCGCCACCTCAATGTGCACCGCCATCTACTGAAGCCCATACGGTGGTTTGCACAGTACAACAAAAGMCCCGCCAAAATCTCCGCCCTCCAGTGGCAAATAGAACACAGGTGTCTACCAACTAAGGATTGGCTGATAGACCATACCCACCTGGAACAACAAGGGAAGGCACTGCCATGGTGTCATCGATGTCTCCAAAGTTACCCTGGGGGGAGACGGGCCGAAACCGTTGAACACATTTTCCTTCAATGTCCCGCGTCGGTACTACTGCGTAGAAGTTGGGATAGAATCTGGGGACACATAGTTCCCGGCGCAATATGGCCATGGGATTGGAGGGCCATACTTTTGGGGCATTTCCCTCCAATCCGGGGGAAGACATTTGAGGAGAACATGCTCAACCTAGGTAGACGGAGTGTGCTATGGACTATATGGTGGAGAAGATGTTGTTTGGAGTTAGAGGGGGCGTGGGTGGAGGACGGAGAGGCTATGGAAGAAATTCGGACATTGATTCACCATGAGCTTGTGACCCAATGGAGACAACTAAGGACAAGCTCGAACAAACGTCTTCCTGGGGAGACATGAACGGGATCATTGCTACATTCTGCGAGGACTGGCTGGGGGGAGAAAGGGAGGGATGGGTGGCAGCGGTGAAGTGGACCGGCCGTCAGACAGAGAGAGAAGCACGAGGGGAACTCCGGGCAGAAATASTAAGAGACTATCAGTTGGTCTTTCACGACTGGACCAAGATAGACCCCGGCTCCCCGTTACGTCCCGCCCAGGACTTTGCAGATCCRTTCCCACCCCATCCGTTGTCCTTAGCAGAAATTTTGCYGCCTGCATGAGCTCGGGGATTCTCAGATCGCGCTCAGAACAGGCCCGGCTTTCTGGTTCTCCAAATCATACTTCCCCTATTCTTGGCATTCTGTCTACTCCTACTCACCTCAGCTTACTTCAGTTCGAATATAAGACATCGCTGTTCATCTCAGAATAACCCTGGGGTGAGTGGAAGACAACTGTTGTCTGATGCTGTCCGATTGTACTTAAATGAACTTCATTTCGGTCCGGACCTGCTTCTCAGTGAAGTTGTCGTATAGTATCCTTCCAGAAAGTCTCAGAATGTTTCAGCTGATTTCAGCTGTCTTCAGCTGGCTTCAGCTGAATTCAGCTGACTTCAGCGGATTTCAAAGCAGCTCAGTGCAGCCTAGTTCAGCCTGTTTTTCAGCCTGTTTTCTGTTGCTTTCTGTTATTCCAGTTGTTCCAGTTCTTTTTCAAAACACTTGCTATCGCAGATGTGCAAAGACACAATAGGCGCAAAGAGGATAGTAGGTGGTTGGCAGAGGCTAGGGGATGGAGGGAGACTCCACTGGTGCCCCCCGGTGGTTCCCCCCCCAGTACCCGACCGTGCGGCAGGTTGGCATGGAAGAGTAGATTGAACAAGGGACGCTGGACCCAGTGTCCAGCACATTGGCGTCAGTTCCATTGATGTACTGTTTTGTAAAGATGTATTTAAGGGACGCTGGACCCGGTTTCCAGCAGGTGTTGCTCCCCACCAATAGATGGAGCAGCCCGCTAGGCAAAGCCTCAATCCCGGTGGTTCTCTTACCACCACCAGGATAGAGGTCTTGCACAAGGGCCTTAAAAAAAAAAAAAAAAAAAGTTTAACAAACCCAAAAATTTTAACATCATTTTTCAGTAATTTAATTATTTCAGTCATTTCACGCCACTGTGTTCAGGAAATATATATGTGCTGCAGCTGGGGTAATGAATTGCAAAAAAAATTAGGTGGCATGAAATACAAGAAAAATTTGCCAGATAATACAGATATTGTAATTATTGTTGATCAACAGAAAGATATAATTGCAGTTCAAGAATGGAGACATTATCACATTTCCAACCTGCAAACTGTTTCGTTTCTGAACTGTAAACAAGTCATGCTCATTTCAGATGGACTTGGTCAACGCTTGCTTGACCAATGGGCGCAGAGCCCATTGGTCACAATGGAAGACCTGATAGGCAGACCATATTGACCCATCCAGAGTCCAGACCGATTAGCTGGACCGATGGGCAGAGATTGTCATCCTCCCCGAGAGCAATTGGGAAGGCAGCAGCAGATTCATTCATTCATTCTGCATCCCCTGAGCGAAAGAATCTTACCCTTAAATCGTGGAAACTATTGCCAGCTCTGATAGACAACCGATTTGGAGTGTAGCTCTCATCATGCTTGTAGTCCACATACAGCGCAAGTTGCTGCTACCGGTTCCACAGGAGTTCATCCCCCACGTCCCAACAGTCCCCCAAAGTGGTTAAGTCAGGGTTATGTTCGGTGAGGATCAAAACAACATCACTTTTTGCCTGTTTGCGGGAACAAAAACAATATTACTCCTAACCTTATTGGCCTTTTGGCTAAGATCAAGTGTAGTATCTGTTCTGAATCTTCTGATCAGTTCAATATCTGATCAAAAAAAAAAAAACAATAACGCTCAATTTCACTTGTCCAACCCCATGCCATAGGGAGCTCCATGTTTGGACTCGTCACTAGCCCCCACGAAGCTTGCGGGAAAACTCAAAAGCAAGATTCGTGCCTGGATAACCAAAAGCTTGAGTGGAAAATCAAACAGGCCGCATCCGACTCTTCCACCCCCTTTTTCTTCAACGACCAGTTCAGCTGTGCCTAAAGTTCCCTAAACTACCAGTTCAGATGTGCCTATTTGTAGGAAGCTGACTTCCGACGCTCCAGAGCCTCCAACAGGGTCTTTTCTTACTGGCCTTTTCAGGACACTACCGGCTCAGGGCCAAAGCGGTATGCCCTCACCGACTCCAAGATCGCGACTAAGCTTCGGGCAAACAGGTGCTTTCAAAAACAAAAAACAGCGGGCATCCCGCTAACATCATTGTATCCAAATCAGGATTCAAACTCGTGATCTGGTCAGTACCAGTTAGACGTGTGCATCATTCAGCAACATGTGTTGCATCCTTTCATTCCTTTCACTGGCTACAGGCACGAGTTTCTGGTCAGTACCAGTTAGATGTGTGCATCNGAGTTTCTGGTCAGTACCAGTTAGATGTGTGCATCATTCAGCAACATGTGTTGCATCCTTTCATTCCTTTCACTGGCTACAGGCACGAGTTTCTGCCGGCATAAGTTGGCATCACTCAAATATAACCACTATAAGTTGTGTGCATCATTCAGGTATAACCACCACCATAAGTCGGCAAAAACAGGGACGGGGGAAGGAAGGAGAGGGCAAGAAGGGGGAAAGGAAGGAAGCAAATGACTTTCTTGTTTCAATGCAAGAGTGAGTTTTGCAGAGAGGTGGGAAGCAGAGGAGGACCTTAGGGAGGGAAATGAATGTGTGAGTGAAGAGAAAGATGGGCAGACGAGGGTCCAAAGGGAAGAGGAGCAAGGGGGAAAGAGAGCTAGTGGGAAGGCGAGCTCGGGGGAGGGGGAGAGCGAGGAAGAGAGGGAGAGTCACGCGGAGGGGTGCAAAGGGCAGGGGGGTGGAGGGGAGTGAGGGGTAGGGGAAACGGTCTATAAACAGGAAAGCAAGAGTCCAGAAACAGAAACCTTGAGAATAAGTCTTTCGTTGATGGTCTGGTGTACTTTGCTTGCAACAATTGTGCAATGACTTGCTGATTCTGCAGCCTGCCACCCGTCGACCCAAGGCTGTAGCATATGTAGGTTACTTTTGCTATTTTGTTTGGTCTGAGGGCTAACCGCGAGATTCGCCTGTACGGAAAGTTCCGCGTGGGACATATCTGTAAATTCGTAGAATTTTAGGCCCGCACTAACTCGAATTTCCTACAGCTACCCTAACTGCGAATAGCAGACCCGGGCTACCACTAGGGCAGAAAGGCCTACGGGCCTATACTGCTAGACGGTCCTATAGCCTATAGCCGGGTAGGGAGAGGCCCTAGAGGCCGAACTGAAATGGTACCGGTCAGTCCAGTCAGTCCAGTCAGTCCAGTCAGTCCAGTCAGTCCAGTCAGTCTGGTCTAGGTCGTGTCTAGGCTAGGGTAGACTATGAATAGAGGTAGGGAAAACTGTTCGAGCCTTTTGGCAGTTGGTACCATACACATCGCGAAGGCGCAGCGCATGAACTGGAAGTGGTGACAGTTTCAGCATTGGGAGAGACAGGCATAGCCGGACCTGCGAAGCGTCGGCCATAGCTGGGACCTACGCTGTTCTCTGACAGCACGCGGGGCTGTTCAGAGGTCCAGGCTATCTGAAGTCTGCTAGAGGCAAGAGAAGTTGGTGCCCTGCTGAACCCTCCTCAGGAGTAGGGTATGAGGGAGTGGCGCTCCTACAGATTTCCATTCGGAAAGTCTTTTGGCACTTCATCATCATCAGAGACTGTGCCGCTGCTCTTCTTCTTCATCCTCTGAGAGGCGCTTGGCCTCAAAGGCCTGTTTCAGGGTGGCGATTGCCCCTGGAGGCAGTATCTGGGTGGCGCTGGTTGTTTCAGGGGCTCAGGGGTAGTGATAGGGGTTACTCAGGGTTGGGGAAAGAAGCGCTGCTCATTTTTTAGCAGCGCATCAGTTCTGGGGTTATTCTGACAAATTGAGACTCTGAGTTTAATAAACGGTGTGGAGACTATGTCGGAATTATCTTTACTTCATTGTTTCTGGATGTGATCTACTCGGCTTTCCTTTGTGACTGGTTGTGAGGATTTTGTGGAGTGAATCGCACTTTCAGTGTACTTTGTCATATCGCATGGCTACGTATACCGCTGTGTTTCTATCTCCCTGTGCGGTGTGATACTCCCATCCTCTCCCCTTTCTTCTGTGTATGTATGGGCATACTTGGAAGTCTACGTGCGTGAGTGTTGGTCTTCAGACAACAAACAACCAGGTTCATAACAGTTGGTATCGGAGCGATTGGATCCAGGCAGTGGAGTAACTGATGAGTTGGAGCAACCATCATCAACTAGCGAGACACTGGAGTTGAACCTCATGGCGATTTGTCATCTTCTGTGTTGGCGACAGTGAGGGTGGTGGTGGTAAGTGTGTGGCAAGAGGTATTGGACACAGGGTGATTCGCTCCTGCTCAGGTTTGCACAGGAGTGAGTGGCGATTGATACTCGGAGGCCTGGGAGGCTCTGAGGAGGCTATTTTTAGCCTGGCAACTCACCTGAGACTGGCAATTTGCAAGGAAGTGACCCCAGGGTGATGCGATTTTGGAATTGGGTCAGGATCCCCAATTTCCAAGCAGCGCAGTGCAGGTTGCAGCAGCGCTGCACTGAGTATCTCAATAATTGGCAGCTCAGAGTCCAAATTCAATGAATTTGTCAGTGAGGGGTGAAGCGCAATAGGCAGATCTACAGGATCACCAAGTTTCACAGGATTCTCTACGTGGGAACATTGGGAACGGTCAGGAGAAGAAATTGGCGAGATGGGTCTCAGGAGACAGCCATAGCCAAGGTTTCATTCATCCCCTTCAAAGTTCCTGAAGTAAGTGTGTTCCTTACTCTACTCTAAGTGGTGATTCTGGGCTATATAGCGAAATTTGGTCTGTCAGTGAGTAGATAGTTGAACATCGAAATGCGGACTGTAAGACAGCCATAGCCAATTTCCCCTACCTATCTTCTCTGACTTCTACTAACCCTATAGCGAAATTTGGTCTGTCAGTGAGTAGATAGTTGAACATCGAAATTCAGACTGTGGGACAGCCATAGCCAATTTCCCCTACCTATCTTCTTTGACTTCTACTAACCCTGTTACACCATCTCTCTGACTCAATTTACATTTGTGACTGCTTTACAGTGATGCGATTCATATTGTACTGCGAATTGGATTGTTCAGGGTCGTACTGTCAGTGATAATGGAAATTTGAATTTTGCGCTACCATAGCTAGAGCTTGGTCAGACTAGGGTTGGTCATAACTTTGGTTCTGTCCGTCAAAATTCAGTTCTCTCAGTCCCTGGTAAATCACAATTCAATATTTAGTCTATGTTTGAAATCGCACTGTTAGGTTTGATGTTTAGAGTCAGTTACAATGAAGTCTATAATTCGCCATACCTTGGGTATGGCATACAGGGTCATTCAGTGGTGAAACGGTAGGGGAAGTCTAAAAATAGCACCCTCAGTAAATCGTTGCATCTTGGTCATCTATAATTACCTGTCAGTGAATAATAGTCACTTTGTCTAATTACTATCTACTACTAATCAGTCCAGGACTGCATCTTGGAAGTTGTTAATATAGGATTTGCAGTAATTGCACGCAATTGATGTGTCAAGGCAGTGAATGGAAAATCGTGAAATTGATTTTTGTTGAGTTGACTCTAAACTAACCCCTGACCCTCAAGTAGTATGCAGAGACTGAGCACTTACCTGCTCGTATTAACCAACTTCTTTCCACCATTAGGTGACAGCAATTGGGCAAGCACTGAAGAGAAAACTCAATTACTGTTGACTTCCCTTTCTGTCTCTTATTTTGTTTTATTTTATTTTTGTCTGTTTTGTGGGTATTGCAAGATGCCTGACATAGAGAAGGATGAAGCTTATGAGGTGAAGCCTCGGCTTCGTCTCTCCTCTTTAGAGGCTGAACTGCTTGTTGAGGAGGAAAAACTCCGGAAACAGGCAGCAGCAGAGGCTCTGAAGAAAGAGTTGAAGCGCAAAAAGGAGGCCAACCAAAAGGAGACTAGAAGAACAGAATTGGTGGCAGACATTGAGAAGATCAAAGTAACTGGATCTTCCAATCAGTACAGTCAGGACATGGTTGAATTCATCCTTCTGCAGGATGATATTCACCGGTCCTACTTTACTAACTGGGATGTGAGGATCACCAACCCGGAGGATAGCCTGTCAGAGCACTCTAAAATGACATCTCCTCCAAACTGGATCGCCTTTTCACTCACCTACAAATTCCACCTACCCTGATCATTCCTCCATCTCTTGGGGGTCCTAAAGCGGAACCCAGCAACCCCCACAATCCAGACCTCCATCCCCAACCTCTACACCCAAGTCAACAGCCACTTCACAGCCCTCAGTGGGTTCAAATGTGATGCGGATGTGAAAGTGAGTGTCATCCTTGCTCGCTTGGAGAGGACTGCACTAAAATGGTGCACCTCCACTTCTAGCAAGCAAGGACTGGACATGTCTGAATGGGCGCAAAGACTGGGGGTGTCTAGATTCCTGCTGGCCTTGAATGATCGGTTTGCAGACAAGGAGCAGGCCAGGAAGGCAGCTGACAAAATTGTCTTTCTGGGCCAGAAAAAAGTGGGACGGCTCCTTGTCCAAGTTGTACTCCA